GCTTCAGCTTCCCAAAGTGCTAGGACTACAGGCGTGCACCACCACGCCCGGCCCATTTGGGTCTCTTCTGAAAGGAGGGAATCTAAAGGCTGTAGCAGGCCATGCACAGCTGCACTGGGGGATATTCCACCAACCCTAAGCTCCCTGCTACTGTGTGCCCTCAGGGTCCTCATCTGGGAGGCAACAGGGCACAGATCCCAGATCCAGTGCCACCCAGAACCCCGCCTGTCCCAAATGTTTCTGCAGAGTTTCTCACCGTCCTTCAATTTTCCACTCCGTCCACTGGCCAGTTGCAAACTTGTATTCAAAGAGGTCATTTTTATTCTTCAAGTTAGAATTGGAATAAATGTCCCCAGTGTAACCCCCTGAGTAAAGAGAGTGAGAAACTGTCAAACCCAAAGGCAGTCTTGAAGATTTAAAACCCTGGAAGGTGGACCAGAATCTGGCCCCACTGAAAATGCATAAGCCAGGACTCTCTCCACAAGCCCTAGAAGGACCTACTGCCCGCCTGCCTCCGTGCTGGGCTCTGGGGACGCAGAGATGAGCGGGACACTATTCCCAGCCACAGCCCAGCAACACCGAAAGACACCCAACCCTGTGAGTTCAGGGCTGTTAGGGCAAGGGGTCCCAGATCCAGCGCAGAATTCAGAGGACTGGCAGACAAAGCCGAGGGTGAACAGAGAGCCCCTGCTGTATACAGCACGAGCACAAACACCCCAGGCCTGCAGAAGGGCAGGGTGTCTGTGGGCCTCGGGGGCGACACAGCCCCTGGGAGGCAAGAGGCTGCTTACCAAAGACAAACATGCTGCTCCCATAGACGACGGCCGAGTGGTGGTAACGGGGGGCCGGCGGGGTCCCAGTGGTAAAGGCCCTGGGGTTGCACAGGGGTGGTGAGAGTCAGCGGGCGTCACCCATGAGGTCCACACCCTCACAGGGTGGCCCTGCATTCCTGTGTTGCCTTTCTTGTTTTTTGTTTTTTTTTTTTTGAGACAGTCTCGCTCTGTCACCCAGGCTGGAGTACAGTGGCGCCATCTCGGCTCAACCTCCGCCTCCCGGGTTCAAGCAATTGTCCCGCCTCAGCATCCTGAATAGCTGGGATTACAGGCACCCGCCATCATGCCCAGCTAGTTTTTTGTATTTTTGTAGAAACGGAATTTCACCATGTTGGCCAGGCTAGTCTTGAACTTCTGACCT